TTCTTAATCCTTAAGTTGTAGATCCTCTTATCATCTTCTAGCCTTTGTATTGTCACTGCTTGCTTCCTTGTTATTTTTAAGAAGTTTTTCCTTTCATGCTCCCACATTACAAATCTGTCCTCCAGTTCAGATAATCTATCCTTAGTTTCTTTCAAGCTGTTATGCCAGGTTTCAATAGAGTTTTTAGTTTCCTGGTAATCTCTTTGAACCTGCTTCATGCTTCTATGTTTTCTCTATTTTCTCCATCATACAACTCTCCCCTTTTTTTTTTCTGTTCTTCCATCCCACCTTCTGCTTTTTCTTGGGAGGTGCTTAGCATTTCTTTAACTATTCTACTTATGTCTTGCTTTACTTGGTTAAATATTTCACTTTTTAACTCATCTATGAGATCCCAGAGATATTGCTTTATGTCTATTGGTGCCATGCTTGATATTGCATGTTTTCTGTCCTCATTCTCCTTTGCTTTTACCTTTCCTGGATCAGTGTTCTCAGGATTGGGGACCGAGGACCCTTTCTTATTGCCTCCTCTTCTTATAATTTTTGTTCCCTCCATACAGGAGTATATAGGAGGCCCAATTTCTTTCTTTGTCAGTTACAGTTTGTTTGAATTATGCTGACTAGGTGTTCGCGCCCACTGCAGTGTACTAGTGAGACACAGACCAGAGCAGCCTATGCTGGGCCTGCCTCTCCAGGTCAGTCAAACTGCTGGAGGCTTCACTCCATTAGGGTGCACTGCGAGTTGCAGGAACCAGGTTTGGGCTAGCCTACTGGGTCTTAGTCCATGCATCACCCAGGTCAAGCGCTCCCCACCAATCCCACTTGGGAGGGGAATATGTGACTGAAGTCACTGCAGTGCCCTGTTCCAGCTAGTATGCCTGGTCCCAGAATGTCATATGTTGGAGCCTCTTTGTCTATGGAAGGGTCCTCTCACTCACCGCAGGTTGATGCAGGGCTCCCCACCATATCTGCTCTCAATTCAGTTCACCAATTCCCGTACTCAGAGCTCTGGCATCTCTATCCCTGCTCTGCCTATTCAGATGCAGCAGGGGCAGGGAATTCAAAACACAGGTTCCAGAGGAAAAATTTCCAGTGGCATCATTGAGACTTTAGCTGTTCCAGTCGTAGCACTGGGATTTCATTTCCAATTGGTTTCTCTCAGCTTAGTTCGTTCCTGGATCAGCAGGGTATATCTCCCCCTGCTTAGGACTACCCACACCACACCATTCCTGGAATGTAAGCTGGCTATCTCAGAGAGCCACTGTAGCTGCTGTTATCTATTCACCATGTTCCCTGCTCTCTCTGGCACTGTTTTCTTGTTTTACTGGTTCACTACCATGAACTAACAAATTTTTTGCTCCATTTTGCCTGTGGCCATGATGCTCCTCTCTGGAACCAACTGACCCCGGACTGAATCTCCTTAAACATGACCAAATTGAATTCCCCCCCCCCCTTATGTTGGACGTATTGTGTCTCAGCCACAGGCAAAGTTAAGGAAGTCTTTCAAGTTACCTGTGGGAAATTAGGTTCCCCCATAGACTGTCACTGGCCTCAATGTAAACTAAGGTGTTTTTTGTTTTTTGTTTTTTTTACCAGGAATTAAACTCAGAACCTTGCACTTACCAGGCAGGTACTTTGCTGATAAGCTAAATTTCTGGCCCTACTTGACATGTTTGATTAGTGACTTGAGATGTCTGGAGGAATAAATTCTCATCCTGAGATTTTTCCAAGTGGAGTTCACCCAATAACTGGTGATTCTGACATTCTGACTCTACCTTCTCTATAAGGTTAATTCAATTGATGATGACTAGAGTTGGACATCTACTAACCCACCCAATAATTATTCTCGTAGGGATTATTGGAAACTTCATTTAAAAGTACATAGAACAATTTCAGTTTTCTAGTGTCCTTGAGTACACTTACTTAAAAGTGTACACTTCACTCAAGTCATTTGCCATGAGCAATAATAAAATTAAGGAGCTGCTTTAGACTGTGAATGGATGGTATTTAAAAACAAATACTGCTCTTAAAAATACCACAGAGACATATTTTTTAAAGTGATTTTCAGTTCATCTTGGAGAACAGAAGCACTCAGTTTAACACATGAGACTTACAGCTCTGCCTCTGGGTGTGAGAGTTCACATCCATCAGAGGAGTGGGAGCTGCTGGGGACAGGCCAGAGCAGGGTCAGTTTGCCATTAACCTAGAATGAGTGTCTCTCTAGACTTCAGGCCATAAGTAAAAAGACAGTAATTTCTCTTTTTCTCCAGGATGAAAATGGGGAAAACTGAAAGATTATATATAAATATAAATTATAGAGACTTAAATTGCAGAAGAGTTTAATTTCATATTTCAAAATCCAATCTCAAAAAGTTGAAATGTCACACTTTATACTGTGATCCTATATTAAAACTATAACTTTCAGTTAAAGGGGAAAATAATTCCTCCTAACACTTTTGTATATTGTCTCCCAATAGAATATGAAAGCTTTGGACCATCACTCAGTGTTGGCTGTGCATAGGTTTTAGAGTCACTTGTATATGATGAAGAGAATCCCAGAGCTGCCTATGCTAGTGCATTGCCTCAGTTCCTCCTCAGTTCATTACAGAGCCCCTCTGATTAGGTCTCCCTGGAGAGCAGGATGATGAGCCCTATGCTTGCCCATCCCCCAAGCTGGGGGCTGATGACCTCCTGGGCCACAGGGACTGCAGGTACCACTGAGCACTCTTGTCTCTTGTTGGCCACACTTGTTCATTTCCACCATTTCCAACCAAAGAACTTGAAATACCTCAAAGCCATCGTTTGTCCCCAGATGATGAGCTCACTGTTTACTGAAATACTTCCTTCTTAAAGGAATAAATCACAAAACAGGAAGCTGTGTCAGGAAGCATGAATTTGACTAGAATGAGAAGTGTAGGAAGACTAATAACATCGGTAATTTTAAGAAACCCTCACATTTATTTTATGAAAGAGCATTTCCACATCCGTTTTCTCATTTGGTTATCCACACCACTCAAAGATGTTAAATACCATACTAATGAAGAAAAGGACCCAGAGGTGACAGGATTTGCTCAGGTGCTATCACAATGGAAGCAAACTGGTCCTCAAACTCAGAAGTCTGACCCCAAAAAGGCCCCACGCCAATGCATTGCTCATGTGAGCAGCACGCTTTGCTGCTGGATTCAAATGCTATGCTTTCCTAGCTTAGGGAGTAACATGAAAATCAACTGTAGCTCCAATAGAGCTCAGCCAAAAAAGTAAAGCAAGAAACTAAGAAAGTTATTGCAAAGCACTGCAGTGAAATCTGAAACTGAAAGAAGAAATATACCTACTTAGGAAAAAAGATAAAGAGATGAAGAATTACCTGGTATAATTGGAGACTAATTCATGAAAACAACTGTACAGTGAATTTTGACATTTAATTCTATTTTTGAGTAGAGTTAAACAAAATGAATTCTAAACAAACCAACAACCAACACCCCAAAACAACAACAGCAAAACAGTACAAAGCAAGACATGCAGCTGAGAATAGGCTACAGTAACAAAGACAAGAAGGCACATCTCAGGCCCCACACTGAGCTCAGGATGAGCCCTTGCTTACAGAAGAGGCTGTGCCTAGAGGTGCTGGATCCCCTCTCCCACACAGCTTCTGGCTTCCTGCCTGCAAATGCATCTTGCAGAAAGTCAGACTCCCTCAGAGGTAGTGGCAGCTGGCCCTGAGCTGGATTCAAATGGAGGCGAGTGGGCAGAGGATGCAACCACAGCACAGAGAGCAGGAAAGAGTGCAGTTAGGTCTCCTGACTTTCCATGATGGACTAAACATGTAAGTGATGCAGATGAGCATGCACTGACCCGAGGGTGGAGAGCAAGCAAAACACAATCAAAAGAAAGACTAGGAATTCCATCCATTTCAGTTACCCATCAAGGTCCAGTAGGCACAGGGAAAGGACAGAGCTTTTAGCAAAAGCCACCTCAGCATCAGCAGTCAACAGGCAGCTGCTCCCATAACGCCCCATGAAGAGGTGCCACGTAGGCACTGCCCTGCTAGGGGTCAGGAGTTTTAGGTGTACTAGGAGCTGATGAAGTCCAGTATTTCTTCTGGATTATCCTTGGAAACAGTGTCTCTTTTCCTGCACCGCTTCTGTGCCTGTGACTCAGAGGTCCCCTGGCCGGGCTCAGGAAACACAGGGTGCTGCTGCACAGCGAGGGCAGTGGCTCAATGCACCCAGGGAATAGTGTGGTCACACCTGTCCTGTGACCTGGTGCGGCACCACCCTAGGTCCCTGCTGTCTTAGTGAGGTGGGATGTTGCCCAGGTCCTCAGGTAACTGGGCAAAGTTTTAGTTTTGAGCCCTGGCATGGTAGTGGCAGGGTGTTGAGTAAGTGGTCACTTCTGTGGTATTTCTCCTGGGCCCTCCCTGCAGACTTCTCAATGAAGTTCCCTCAGACCCCCTCTGCCGGTACAAGCCAGCTTCTGCAGGTGGATGGGCTCTGTGGTCATCTCAGAGCACAGCCGAGGCTCTGCACCTCTTCTGTAGAATCAAATCCCTCCTGAACATGGTCTTTCTTAAACCCCTCCAGTCTGTCTGTGTGCACTGCACACTTGGAGTGGGCCCAACTGGGCCTCGGGGCCTCTGGGAGCTCCACATGCCAGGGCCTTTGCTGTGTTATCATCGGAGCAAGGGAGGGCACTGCTGTCCCCCCCACAGGCCAGGAAGATGACACTCAAGAGAGAGGGGCTCTGCAGGGAGGCAGGGTGCTGCTTGCCCAGTGCAGAGCAAGTCCTGTGCCATGTGGGCAAGGCCCTGCCTGTCTTCTTGCCCCTTTCAGCACTCAAGAATCCTCATAATCCCGGGAGTTCCTCAGTCCCTTCCTCCAGCAGGTGCTGTGAGTCCTCACCTCGGGGCTCAGCTGCCAGGGACTGCTGCTGCAGAGAGCCTCTGGGAGCACAGCACAGTGTGAGGACTTAGCTCTACTAGATGTGCATTTAAAATAGAGGGACAGTTCTATTTTATGTTACAATAAAATTTTATTAATGTTTACAGAAAATAACTACAGATACATGAAACCAGAAAAAATCCAAAAGGCAACATTTCCAGGTGAGGCAAGGAGATGTGCAATTGGAGTCCTCCAAGGTGAGGTGGTCTGAATTGTCCTGCAGACCGATGATCAGCCATAAGAGAGGAGAGAGAGAGGGAGATTCAGGTCAGGCTGGCCAGTTTCTGCCTGTCCAGCTCTGTTCACCCCATCCCCCCTTAGCTCCAATCCTGGTCCCTTCCAGTGGGCGCTGCTGTGGAAACAGTTGTGGCTCTAGCAGTGGCAGGAGAGGGACAGGACAGAAAATTCCTGAATCGCTCTTCTTTGTGCCTTTCCCAAGGCATATAGGCCACTTCCTGCCAGAGAAGCCCCAGGCACTGACCCCGACAGCAAGACACCATCCCATGTCTTGTCCAGCTCCATTGGTGGTCCCATTCTCTTGCTTTGCCCCTGGCTAGCAGCAGCCTCTGGAAACTCCTCCTAGTGGCACCAGCATGACCTTTCCTGCATTCCCACCACCCACAGTCACTAACCCCAGCCTCCTACTCACATCTGAGATGAGATCTCTCTTAGCGGACTCTAAATTGAGCCGAGAGTGTGCACAAATGCCGGATGATGTCCGAGTCTGTAAGATTCAGGAGTGCATAGGCCACGAGCTGCTTGAGGTTGGCCGTGTCTGGGCACTGGCAAAAGTCTCCTGGGTAGTGGAGCAGCCAAGTCTCCAGGATGGAGCTCAGAGCCCTAGGAGCAGGGGGGCAGGAGAGTCAAAGGCCTGACTTCTCCCACTGCCCTAGGCTCTCTGTCATGCAGCCTGAGGGGAGCCCTGCTCAGCAGAGCACACCCTGCCAGCCAGCAGCTGGGCACAGAGGGCAGAGGTGTAGGGACCAGGTGTGAGTGATCTGTGTCCCGCACCTCCTGGGCAGCCTCCACCCAGCATGGCACCAGCATGACCTTCGCTGCTCAGGGATGGCATGGGTTCTCCTTGCTAGGAACAGACTGTGTACAGGTGCATCCTCACTGGAACCTGCTCCTTGCCCACCCCTGAGGCCCTCATGCACAAGAGCCCAAGCACAGCTGTCTCCCTCCTCCTCAAGGCCCAGCCTCTGATCCAGGCCCTCTAGTGGAAATCAATGGACAGTGAGTGACCCTGGTTTTTCCCACAGCCCAGTTCCTCCGATGCATCCCACTTTGGAGAGAGGATTCTTCCCTCCCTCTTAGCCCAATGGCCTTTTACCTCTTGTTCTGCTGGTCCTCTTCAGAGTTCGGAAGGAAGGAGGGGTACCTGGAAGAACCAGGAGAACGTGACCTTTGAGGACTCATTGTCCTTCCCTCCCAAGACGTCTAGGGGACCATGTGATTGTGGGATGGCAAAAGAGGCTGGGAAAGTTGAGAGTTTGGTAGGCATTGCTCCCTGAATGACAGGGAAGCCTCAGGAAAGGTTCTGCACACAGTAGGTGCTTGTAGACATCTGTGCTGTGGGTGAGCCCAGCCAGCTGTGCCCCCATCTCAAGACAGTACTGCCATGACTCCCCTAGGGGTCTCTGATCTGGATTCCTCTAGGCAGAAACCTAGAAAAATGAGGCTCCAGCTAGACAGTTCCTTCAAGGGGCAGATTGGGGAAGCCCCACAGCCCTGGGCTCCACCCCCTAACCAGAGCCAGACCTTGGTCATGCATTCTGGGGCATCAGCCTATTTGGTCCTGAATACAACACGTGAATGGAAGTCCTCTGAATAAACTATTTTCCCCAGTGATTATTAGGGTACAGAACGGTTCAGGGGGTTCATCCCCAAGAGCCTCCCAAGGGTCCAGGGTCCCCTGACTTGGAGGTGGGGCACACCTGAGGAACAGCAGATCCAGCACCTGCCGCGGGGTGGCGAACCTCCTGTAGATGGCCAGGAAGGCAGGCACAAAGAATGGGTACCCGCGCAGATGGGCGGGCACCAGGTTGTCCACCAGCTTCTTCAGCATGTCTGGCTCCATGCTCCTCACCTTGCCAGCATCCTCCAGCTTTGGGCTGGACTTCTTTGAGGCCTGAGGTGGCAGCGAGAATGGCTTTGGAAACACTAGCCGCTCTAAAGAGCTCAGCCCCCAAGTGGATCAGCTGCCAAACGCGTCCCCTGGTTTCACACCCACTCACGCACGCTGCCCCACACACCACAGGGGCAAGCAGGGTTCTGGGCTCTCCCGGCTAACTCTGACCTGTTGGGTGCTCTCCTGTATCATCTTGGGAGTTCTGGGGTCGGTGTGCTCCAGGCTCTGGGGCTGACGACTGCCTGAGCCTCTCAGCCTTCGAATAAGACCCTCTTTCCACCAACTCTTGTGGCCTGAGCCTAGGCGTTTTGGGAAACAGCAAGAAAACATCGTCCTGACTGTTCTCTCTCTACCAGTAACTGTAATGAACCAGCCTCGAGAGTTCTAGGTTCTGTTAGGCGTGTTGTCAAGGAAGTGAGGTCACTTCCTCGTGTTCCCCTCCCCTACCTGCTTCTCCCATGTCCCCTGCAACTGATGGATGACCCTTCCCAACCTGCTAGTTGCCAAACGGGAAACACCCAAACCCAACGTATCTTGCACTATTGTCTTTGTGTAGACCCCATCTTCTCCTGGGTAGAGACAGCTCATGAAGTACCAGGCCCTCCTTCTTCGTATTAAAGAAGCGGCTGTGGGGCTCAGCCCATAGATTAAAATTCGTTTTGGGTGAAGGTTTCAGCTGAGGGCCAGTGTGAATTCTAGGGCTCTGGTTAGCTTTAGAGTGAGCATCAGGGCATGTCCTTGAATTAGGATTGAATGGTTATCACATCAGGTTGGTTTAGGAAACTAGCACCTGGTTAGGTTGACATTTTTTATGTTAAGTTCAGAGTTAGGGTCCTTTATCATGTGTGAGTCTTGGGGCTAGATGTATTAGGTTTTGTTCCCTGCTAATTTTAGTGCTAGTGTTTTGGTTAGTGGTCATGTCACATATTATTTTCATCACTAAGCACGTTGTGTAGAAAATTTTATTGGAGTGTGAGAAAATGTAATGTTAGGTTTTTAGGGACAGATGCTGAGGATGTAAGTGGCAGGGTTATTTTAAGGATTCAGGTGAGTTTTGGGATAGGGTAAGAGTGAGTGTTGGGTTTAGAGTTAGTTCAAGAGTTAGAATGAGGATTAAGGTTAGGGTTAGTGTTAGGCTTTAAGAGCATCATAGTGTTCAGGATTCAGGTTTAGGTTACCTTTGTTGTTCGTGGTTAGGGTTAGGTTAGAATATTAGGGTTATTTTAGGTTAGGCTTTTGGGTTAAGATAGGGGTTAGGGTTAAGGTTGCACTTGGGGTTCATGTGTGAGTTAAGTCAGTGTTGGTGATGAGTTTGGTGTTAAGTTTTTGGGATTATGAATAAATTATAGTGTTATGATTTGCAGATATGTTTCGGGTTTAGTTTTAGTATGAGTGTGAGTGGTAGGTCTAGGGATTAGGATGAACATCAGAAGTACGGTGAGGATCAAGGATAGAATAAGGATTAGAGTGTGGTTAGGGTTAAGGGTAAGGATTTAGAGTTAGAGTCAGGGTCATAAAGTTGCTGGAATATATGTCTAGTGGAATCACTGTATGGTCACAAAAGAGATTCTATTAATGAAAATAAATATATTTGGATATTCTTTACAACAGGAGAGACCCAAGATTGGGGAAAAGTTTTTTATTTAGTAGTATTTTATTTAGTAGTTTTTTATTTAGTATTGTCTTAAGGTGATTTTAAATTGTTTTATTCTTCTTTAGTTGTGTTTTTATAAACTTCCTACACAAATTTTGAAGCCATGTAAATTAAACTATATCCTGTTCTATTCAAAATAATCTCAGAAGCATGTATTGCTTACCAAGGATAAAGGTGCCTAAACTTTTATAATTAAAGTGAATTTTGAATAAATACAATCTTTATAATTATAGCTAATTGATTAATAGTAACCAATATTCCCTGGGCACTTACTATGTGCCAGCCACTGGACTACATGGTGTGGGAGTGTGTGTATTGTGGATTATTTGTATTTTACATATGCACAGTGCATATAGGTTTACTTCTCCCAATCCACATGAAACGGCCTCAGCATACAATATGACCACAGTGGTGCAACACAGCTGTCCTGGAGTTAAGCATTATATTTTCCTTTGCAGATGACAAAACAGAGTCACAGTCTAATTCAGCACTTTATAGCTAACTCATGTCGAACTCAAATAAGATGGATTTGACCAAATCCATGGCTTTACTGTATCACACTGTACCTCCTATGCTGATGTAAGATAGAAAAATACATAAATCATATTGTATCAGATTGGTAATTTGCTACATGTGTACCATGTGACATAACTACAAAATTTGAAGAGGAAAAAGAAATTCTGAAGTAATATGTGCCAATTGTCAGCCAGAAAAAGCCAAAATGCAATAAAACAATCAAACTAACACGTACTAGCATGGAGGCGGCAGTGATTGCAGACCTAAATTCTCCCATTGCCTCAATGATACAATAACTGATCTTTATATTATTAAGCCAGAATCCTCCCAGGTACACAAGTATTAAAACATCACACTGTATACCTTACACATGTACAATTTTTATTTTTAATTGTAATTTACTAAAGCTGAAGAGCAAAATAAACTCAGTATGTTCAAGGCAATTAGGAAATATATGTCAAATTTAGAAGGTATTCTAGTCAATACAATTAAAAGAACAAAGTATAACTAGAACTGTGAAAAATTCAGATATTGGGAACTTTACATTATAGTAGGTACATATTCTATTTTGACTGGTAATTTTCGTTAAAGGCAAAATAAACTTTTCATGCCATTAGCTATTGTTCCTTTTGCCAATTCAGAATTAATATAAACATCAGTGTATAAACTGGTTCATCTCTGACTGTACCTACCTTGAGATATGACAGTCTCAACGTTCAGTTGCATGGTATGGATAAAAAAGACTTTCAGGTAAGAACAAGATGCTGCGCAGTTGAAAATAAAGGGCAGATCTGGTTTTTGTGCTTCCTTTCCCCATCTCCCACCTAGAATTTGCATTTGGTTTAATAATCAATATTATAAGGTTGCAATTTGTACATACATGTCGCTTCCAATACCACCAGTATTATCTTCATTGTAGTAAGAATTCAGCTGTCACCTATATGTTTATTGTCACACTTTACACACATTAAGAATTTAAGGATGGCACATCCTTCATAATCATGCATGACTAACCTGCCAGTGTAGTATTCAGTGTTCCCAGTTTGAGATTCTACCTCCTGACAAGCTTCATAAAAGGGAAGAAATAAAACTGACTTGCATTCCATACAAGATGTCGGTTCTATAAATGCCAGAAAGAAAAGCAAAATGAACAGTTGGAGCATATGGCCGTGAGTGAGCTGACAGCCCGAAGAAACTAGCTCTGCACGAACAACAAGGAGCATCTTGAAATGTTCAAGACATATGTGTTTAGGATGATGACTGAAGTGTTTCATAATAAAAGCAGGACCAAGTGAACCATGAGTGCCGAATAAAGTTTTAATTAAAAATAAGTTTTTAGCCTTCCATGTGAATGTACAATATGCTTCACAGATGGATTTTATATTTAAGTTTTATTCAAACCCAAAAAAAGTGAGGCAAATAAAGCTTCTGAAAATGGCATTAAGGCTGAACTGCGTATAAACAAAGGAGGGCTCTGGGACAAACAAACAGGGAAGGGAGAGCCACTCTTTTGTCGTCTATTTTCTGTGTGTACATTGCAGACTAGATGATGCAACTTACCAGTGGTGCAGACATGTTTTTCTCCAGTTTAAATATTTCATAGGCATGCACAGTTAGGAAACCAACTAAATATTTAACAATGGAGAAGTGGTTAGATGACTTTATGTAGTCAATTCTAATCAGGAAGTGCATTTATGTTCTATTTTAGAAAAATGAAATGATATGTACATTTAAATCATAGGATACATACTTCATAAAATAAAACCTAATTTTGTAGTAGAGCATAAAAATATATCACTATGTATCTCAGCACTCTTACTTTTATATATTTACTTTTCTAAATCTTGTATATTTTATGCAGTATTGCTTTATAAAATCAGAAAATAACATTTGAAAATCCAATTAAAATTGAAATATTTATCTAGAAAAATAGCTGTAAAAACAATAATCATTCTAAATTCATAAGAACTTTTTAAAAATAAAACTTTGATGTATAAGAAATGGTGACGCTTATCTATATAAATTCATGCAAGGTAGGAGAAATTTATTTAAAACCCATCGGTTTTATGGAAATAACAAATGATAATATTTCTCCATCTAGTAGATGAAAGTGTAATGACAATGCTTTTGAGTGCACACAGTGACAACGGTCTACCTTTTTTCGTGCATATGAAAAAAATGTTGCAATCACCAAAAAACAATTTTCCTCTGTCTTGCAGGGGACCTGAAATAATTTTGACTGTTTTGCTTAGGATTATCAATAAAAACTTCTCCAGATTTTGCAGCCTCTATGCCAAAAACACATTCATTGCACAACACAGTTTAGGAACAATATGACAACCACTGCTTAGCTATAAAAGGGAATAATACAGCATAAAATTTTCTATCCTTTAGGAAAATTCAAAGTATATTTAACATGTCTTTGTTAAGTAGTAGATTACCTTACAACAGCACTTTTTATTAAAAACAGAATTAATAAACGTAAGAGAAAAAAAGCTGTAATATGTATATGGAATCACTCCTCACGATGATTTTAAACTCTATGAATTGCAAATATGTACTAATAAACTTTTAAAAAACTATATTAGTAAGAGAAAAATAAGCTATACTGTTTCAGAAAGTAAATATCTTATGAGTTCAATAGATTGTCAGCAAAATACAAAAACAATGATAAATATCATTTATAGTTTTTACCATGTTTTGGGTATTGTTTTAAATACTTAATTGTTAACTAATTTAATCATAACACTGTCTCCATGGGTTTTAAATAATCACAACAACTTTATGAAAATATCTTCCATTTTATTAGGGAGAAACCTATTTATAAAGGTTGATAACACAGAGGTGACAAACTCAGGGGAGGAAATCTGGAGTGTATACAACATATTGCTCTTAGGCCAATTGGAGCTCTTCACAAACTACAACTTCCTTTCCCTGGATCACTCATGAAAGCAAGTTATCCTGATAGTGTCTAGTATTTGTCGGAGAATACCCACATGTTCTCCCATCTAATCATAATATTTTGCTGAAGACGGCAGATTAATGTTATTGTCTTATTTCATAGGAAGACAAAAGGGAAGGTCAGAAACGTTGGAAGTGGTTTTTCTGCTATGCAACATTGCAGTTCACCTCTGATGTTATGGTTTGTGCCTAGATGTCCCCGCTCCCAAAGCCTCATGCAGTCATGGAGGCAGGTTTCTAGAGTTTGTGATTGATTCATGGTCCAAAGCTGGGATTACGTGAGTGCTACACCTGTCATAAGGCAGGTAGCTTGTATACAATACAAGGGACAGAAAGAGGCTTGTCTCCCTCTCATCCTCGTCCCCCGCTTGCTTTTGCTGTCTTTCACTGCCATGAACTCTGGCCCCTCTACCGTGTGGGAACAGAAACCTCTATATACTCTTCCCTTAACTTGGGGGGTGATGTATTTTGTCTCAGCAATAAGAAAATAAACTAGGTTATCTGGTAATAGAAGTACACATAGGTACTAGGTGAAAAACAACAGGAGCACAAACATTTTCAAAACCTTTGTTTCCATATACCACTATTCTACTTAATAAAAGCTCCAACAAATTAATGAGGAATTAGTTTCATGAAGCCTCTAACAATTCTATTTTACTACGTATGTTCCAGGACATTGTCTTTTCTTAAAGATTTCTTTCATCTTTCTGAACTATATCATAAACTCAAAAAGGTAAATTTGTTTAAATTTTTACTGCATCGGGAAGTACACTGTCCTTTTTTGGTACTATTTCCATGAAATCTTGGGTCAGTTACAATAAATCTTCAAGACATTTATTTCATATAGTTGTCCATTCTTGGCTTTGTTCATTTTTAATATTTAGGGGTTGGAAATTTGTTCTGAATTTTAATGAATTAATGTTAGTTCATTTTTCATTTTAATTCACTGAGGTTTTTCTGAAGATGTACTACTAGCTACATCATTTGAATACATAAGTTGTAACAAAGTGAGATTTTTAACCACTTATTTAGTTGAGAGGCAGATGGGTTTAGAATCAATTCCAAGCGTTACCAGTTAGATGTTTTTTCACTGACCAGTCACAGTGGTTTGGTCATCAGTGTCCTAGTCTATAAAATAGATTATTGATTTGTGGACTGTGGGGAGCAAGAACCAGGCCTCACCAGGAGGTGATCCCCGCCTGGAAACCAGAGCCATGCATGGGCCACTGCCAGAGTCAGGACAACCAGACCCAAGTCTCTCTCCCCGAGTCTGCCATTTGCAAAATGCAGAAAGAGAGAGAACCAGGCTTCACCAGGAAGTGACCCTTACCTGGAAACCACATCATTTTCATTGCTGTTTGTTTTAGGCTTATTCTCTTTATGTTAAATCTGATGGCAGGAGCAGCTATTTAAAGGATAGCAATATATACTATGTTGATTGTTTTGAAGTCCTTTTTTTGCATTTATTATTTTGTTTTTATTGTTTCTATTCTGTTCTGTTTGATTTTTACTATGTCCGAAGGTATCTGCAGCTGTTTTGAAGACAGGAAGAGGCATTATGGTAACTATTGTTGATTTTGTAAGGTTTGGAAATCCTGTATCACTTATACTGGTTTGTTTTGATTGCTTTTATTGTTTTATTTTCCTGGGTTTTATTCTCTTTAATAATTTAAAAAGGGCAGGAGGTGGGGAGGTTTAGCTCAGCATCATAAATACCTGCCTGGCAAGTACAAGGTCTTGAGTTCAGTCCCTGGTACCAAAAAAGAAAAAAAAAAAAAGTAATAGTAAAACCAGACTACTTATCCAGAATGATCAAAATATACTGTGAATATTTAAATTTAAACTTAGTATGAGATACATTTCCACTAACCCCCCTCAAAATTGTATCCCTGATTTCAAATACACTAATTTCATCATTCTTGCTGTTTCCTGAAGCAGTTCTGAAAGTCTTCTCCCCTATCTTTATGAGATGTGATTAAAAAATACTATACAGTTAATGCAGACACTGTCATTCAGTAGCAAGGTAGATTCTAAAAACATCACAGTGTGTCCTCATCCATGTTATTCACTAGATCTAGCACTGCTCAACCTCCAGCTCTTCTATATTGTCAAAATGATGAAAGGTAAACATTTTGAATCAGTTTAGAGGCAGCTACAATAGACAACTAAGGAGCTGGGGATTTAGCTCAGCGGCATAATGGCCTGCCTTGCAAGCAGGCAGTTGTGAGTTTGATCCCTGGTACCGATAAAAAGGAAAAAGAAAAAAAAAAAAAAAAAAAAAGGCAACTAACAACCGTCACACAAAAGGACTCTCAGAGCAATTTCAGAAAGTGGCAAGGGTGCTGGGATGTTTGTTCAGGTAGGAGGATTAAAGACAAGGTGTCTTTTACCATAATACATTTTTTAAAATGTAAACATTCACAGTATCTTTCAATCGCACTACATATACCTACTGTAGCTCATAGACATGCTGGGAAAATCAATGTATGTAAATCACCAAATACTGATAGTAGCCCTTTGTAAAGATTAATTTAATTCTCTTGGTGCATAAAGTTTTAGAACTATACAAGTTGGGATAGGAAGTAAAATAAATATATTTTCATTCTCCTCAAACCTGTAAACAATCAAATACCATACAAATTAGAAAACATTCTAATGTAGTTCACTTATGATTTAGCCCAATTTAAATGTAGTGAACTGTACCATACCATGATTTGTTTTTTTCATAAAAGACTGTTTCACTAATTTGCTTAGTCACATAGTAATTTATACTATGTAATTTATACTCTATGTAATTTATACTACAGTAATTTATAGTGATTATTACTTAAATTAACAAGTTTCTAGATAAGAGTGGGATAATTTGAATGCCAGAAGATAATTGTTCATCTCATAGTGAATGAGAAAAGGTAAAACATCTAGCAAGAAAATAATTTTTAAGGCTCACTTAGGAACTAAGAAATTTATGTATCATAGATGAGATTACAATTCCACTGGACTATAAGGTGCCCAGCACAATGGCAAACAATTGCAATAATAACACTGTATTTATCATCCCTTGCAGTAAGGTTTAAGAGTTGGCCAATCACATGAGACTTTTAAATCTTGATTAGCAAGTAACAAACAAAAAGCAAGTTGCTATATTATAAATTTTTTTTAAAGAAAATGTAGAAAAAAAATAAGCAACTTTCTGTGCATCCCTCTGCAGCTCAGCTTTGCAGCTCTCCTTGTTTATCTCTGAAGCTCTCTCTCAGCTGCTGGGGCTCAAACACAGGCTGAGGTTGCTCCCAGTGTCACACAATTGTGTCCTCCTGCTCCATCTTGCTGCCAAGTCTCTCTTGTCATGCAGCTGGGAGCAGGGCATAGGGAGTGTTGTTGGCCAACTCACTGCTCCCAAAATAGGAGGGAGCAGGGTTGGGGGAGTGCTGACTTCCCACTCATTGCCCGCCATGGCTTAAGGTTGTTTAAATCCCACATCCCCCTCTCTCACATTGCTGGAACAGGGCAAGAAAGATCGTGCTGTTCTACTCATTCCCTTTGCGGCAGCCACTGTGGTCCCTGACCTTACTGTTGCTAGAGATTCCAGTTAGCTGCCAAGATGCACAACAAATTAAGGAAAACAAAACAAAAAGCAACTATCAGTCCACTGGAGAAAGAGCAGACTCCTGGTCACTCACTCCTGAATATTCAGGTGACAGCTGTTCCCAGGCTGCAATGTCACAATGTCCTGTGGCAGAAGGGAGAAGAGGCGAGGGGCCTTGCCTGTGGCAGCACTGTGGGCTGCCTCACTGTAAAGGCGTACGCCTATGTTTTGTTTGATCTGCAAATCTCTTGTTTCAGACTAATTTTGGCATCAGGGTGTATATCCCACTCTTTCATCCAGTTACCTGTATTTTTAGTTGATTTTGTCTGAGTAACCCCAATGTAGCTCCTCTGTGCAGCCATGCTGCACAAACTATGTACATTTCTACATGTATGTGGCCCCTTTGTCCTGTCTAGTGGCTTATGTTGTAGGTTAACAGCAAAGCCTGACATTCAAGAACAAAGTAATAATAGGTGCCTGCCTTGCAAGTGTGGTCAGGAGTTTGATCCCCAGGTACAAAAACACACACACACACACAAAAACAAAAACCAAGTTAATAAAGAAACTCATATGTTTTAGTGTCTTAATGTAAGAAAATATGTATTTATATATATATATGTGTGTGTGTGTGTGTGTGTCTAGGTGTTAGTGTATATTTTACCTACTGTTCTTTTATAATAATGTCCCCTCCCGGCTTTGTTCCTTTTTGTGTTTAACTGGACGTGGATGAAAGAGAGTACTGAACTTTGGCATGAAATAAGCCAGGCCTTATCAGCTCTACCTGAGGTGACCCTCTCTACCAGAGGTGTAACACTTTATTTGCCAGAAACCTCACTGAGACCCTTTAACTTTCCGTCTGCCTCAAATTCCCCTATGGTTACCATGAGGCTTGTTTGAATTTTTTAGTAGTTAAAGCCATCTATTTTTACTAATAATTAAATTTCAATTATATACAAAAACCTGAAAGTCTTATCTCCTTGTACATTCCCGTACATCATTTTCCTGGGTCAGAATGTATTATTTTGTATAGGAATCTATTATTGAGTTTTTGTGGGTACAGCCCTAACATTTTTGTCTAACTTTTATATTAGTGTTACAGGTAACTTACAAACTACCACCGCAATATTAATTATACTAAATTTGACTCTGTACCTTCATCTGTGAGATACACTTTCACATGCTATGTTACTACTTATACTATATGTTTGTTATTACATTTGAAGAACTCCCTTACACAGGGTAGTGTATTGATATGAACAACTCTTTTATTTCAGAAAACCACTTATTCTTCTCTCCATTTTAAAGAGTAGCTTTGTAAGATAGTGTATTATTAAAAGAGCTGTCGATTCTTTTAGTACTTTGGTTGCACTTCCTGGGCTCCCAGGCTTCTGCTGAGAAATCCAGGTGGTCTGGTTTCCCTGTATGTGACAAGCTGCATTTCTCACTGATGTCAAAATGCGATGTCTTTCACTTTTGGCAGTTCAGTCATGATGTGTCTTAGTGTAGGCTTCATGTTCAATCAGGTTTGGATTTTCTCTTGGATTTGGATTGTATCTTGGGAAGTATATCTTGGGTTTAGATGTATACATCACAAATTTGGAAAGTTTTCAGTTATTTGTTTAAATAAGCATTCTGCTCCTCTGTATCTTCTTTCTGCAACTCCCAGAAATCCTGTATAACTGCTTCAATATTTTCTATTCCTTTCCCCCTACAATTAGAAAATTTCAAAGGACCCATCTTTGAGTACACTGATTCTTTCATTATACTGAAGCTCTCTGCTGTTCTTCAGTTCCTATTTTTCAGTTCAAGAATTTTTTAATTCTTTGTTGAACTTATTTTACTCATTTTGTTACATTCTTTGTATAGTCTTGTATCTCACTAAGTTTCTTGTAGTATATAAAGTTTCTTTATAGTAGTATTCTGAATTGAGAAATGGTTCATTCCATTTCTTTGGAGTAAATCACTGCAACTTTACTGGTTTTTTTTTTTTTTTTTTTGATGATACCCTGTTTCCCTGATATTCTTATTCATTGTATCCTTGCACTGGTATCTATACATTTGGTGAAGCACACTTACCAGACTTATCTCTGGTAAAAAAAGATCTTCACTGCCAGGAAAGGCAGAAGCATGAAGTGGCACTGTATCTAGCTAGCCAAATGAAGGGGGGCATCCCACAGCTCCACATCAGAAAGAGAAGAGCAGTTGCACAGCAGAATTTAGGCATGTGGAGTCCACAACATTGGTAACTGTGTGGACCTCGGCAGCCAATGATGTGGAGGTTCTGTAACATCTATGAGGATTGATGGTCATGGGCGGGGGGGGGCCTCTGGGTCCAGTGATGAGTCCTTATGAGTAGGTAAGGGCAGGGCTGGTGACATGAGCTCACGTGGTGGCCAACAGTGGAGGCAGAGGTATCTGGGAACATACGCAAGGCATGGAGGATGGTGAGTGCACTTGCAGTGGTAACAGCCGAGGCCAATTGGCCCATGTGATGATGAGAAGTGGCAGGGAGCAAGCATGTGTGCAGAGGTGCATATAGCAGTATGCAAACAGTCAGCAATAGGCTTATGTGCAGTGTAAGAGCGTGGTGCACACGCACATTCAATAATAAAGCAGTACTCGCATACACTATAGCAGCTGCCTGAGCAGCTGTATGCATGCATGTAGCCATGAAACATTTTTATAGGCCAGGAGATGGCTAAATCTGGAAATGGACACTGGGTCAGTGTCTGTGTCAAGCATGCTTTTACCAATTATACTAGAAACTGGTGCCACAGTGGCACTAGCTGAGGTAGCTCCAGTCAGGCACCTCAGATCTATGAAGGTGGGACCACCTATAGCAAAATTCATGTGAGATCTATGACAGAACTTGGAGATTCTGAGGTCCTCAGTGGCAAAGACTGACATGGTCCTCAGAAGAGTAGGCCACCATGGACCGTGGCACTTGTGTTCACATAACACAACAATTCAACTCCTAGGTGAGTGCTCACAAGAAATAGAACTGTTATTTCTACACAAAAATACATGAAACTTCTTATCAACATTTAATAAAGCCCCCAAAGTAGAAACAAACAACTCAAATGTCTATAAACTGATTGGACAAACAAGATGTAGTATGTTCATAAAATGGTTATTTAGTAATTTAAAAAAGGCATTTAGTACATTACAAGGTAGACAAATCCTGAAATATCAATTATGCTAAATGAAAGCAGACAGACACGGCTGGTCACATATGATTCCATTTACATGAAATGTCCAGAATAGAGAAGAAAGTAGTTTAGTACTTTCCAGGAGCTGAGGGAATAGAAAATGGGAACTGATTGCTATTAGGTTCAGAATTTATTTAGGGTGATAAATATTCTGTAATTATTTAGTGGTTATGGTTATAAAACACAGAATACAGCAAAAACCAGTTAATTATATACTTTAATAAAATTAATTCTATCTCAATACAGCTATTGTTAGTAAATAAATGATGAAAATTCTCCATCTGCACCTAATTCTTTTTTTTTTTTTTTATCGGTACCAGGGATTGAACTCATGACTGCGCACTTGCAAGGTAGGCGCTTGTGCCACTGAGCCAAATCCCCAGCCCATGCACCTAATTCTTAATCAGGAACTTAATCTCTGAAATCAGATCACAATTATTTACCCAAGATTGCTTGATCATCTGCATTAATTACACAATTGTAAAAATGATGGAATGTTAAAATATCATTTCAAATTATCCCCTTTATCTCCTTTTATGTGAAAAAAGTAAATTTCAAGAGGAATAAGGGACATAAGGTTACAGAAGGACTGATCTTCCTTATGTAACCTTATGTAAATAAGGAATAACACCCTTATTTCTTTGTTAAATTTAACATTTTCCTTTACTAAAATTTCTGTTTGTTTATATAAAGAAAAATATATTGAAAGATGAAAAAGAACTATCTTTCTTACAAAGTCCAATGGTTATTATCAGGCCTATGACAAATATAGAAAAAAATATATAAGAGAATAAACAATTGCTTCTATGGATGAGAAAATACAATCATTAGTACTTAAAGGTTTACTCTTTCAAAACGATACAACATAAGAATTCAAAGTGACTGAACAATAACGATCAATCCTTCCCCTAAAAAGGGAAGATGATCACACACACAGCAGAGATGCCAGATACCTGGGAATCTGCCCCATCCTTCACAAGGATGCGAAATTTAATTTATAGAAAAAGATGTCTTTCACAGTATTAGTTTACAAAGCGCTCTCTCTCTCTCTCTCTCTCTCTCTCTCTCTCTCTCTCTCTCTCTGTCTGTCTTACTTTTCATGGCTGTTTCCATAGGTAATAGCAGATATACATACAACAAGTAATTTTTGCGGTGCTTAATTACTTAGGAGACTTTTTGTAATAGAATATTTTCTGGGATGAACATAGTCACTTGTTTCATCAGTGGCAACTTTTAAATGGAGGACTTTTAAAAATTTTTTCCCACAGAAAAACACATTAATTTTCATTGAGAATATGCTTACTATGCTCAGTAATAACCTTTACAAGCATACTGTGCAGAATATCATCACATAACCCTCAGCCAGAGGATAACTCAGTGGTCATACGGTCCTGCATTTTGACAGTCAGTGTCCACATGTACCTGAGAACGGCATTCTGAGTTGAAGAAACGGGCAGCTGGGAGAACAAAGAGTGGTGGCTATCAATTATGTGCCAGACTCTTTATTGGATACCAGCATAGGTTGACACCATGATTTCTTAAAGCCTCTAACGTGCTGTATTATACTTCGCCCTAACACGCCAGACTCTCCCTGGCTGCCCACATTTGTAGCATCCCTTTTCATTGCTGTCATCCTACCGACAACTCAAAAAACATTCTTAATACGATATTTACATGGTCTATCATTGGATAACAAATATATTTTTCCCAACAATGTAACCAATTTTACATTTTAATTTCAATTTAAATGAAGTGCAAGTCAATTGTTTTCTTTCTAACTTATAACTGTAGAATCAACCAATAAAATACTATCTTGTAGTCAGCTCTTCAATCTTAAAAGCAAACTACATTTATTTCTGGTTTTCTCTTCTCATCCTCTGGTAAACATGGTAACTGATTTCTTTAGACCTTAAGTATCACTGTCTTCAGAGGAAGAAAAAACTAATTTTGTCAAACTACCAACAGATTTTGAAATGCCTACTAAAAAGCACTCCACTGTATTATGTTATTCAAAGTGAGGTTTCGACTTTCTTGGGCATTATGATACCTATGATAATGTCAAAAAGGTTAAATTATAATGTAATTCCCTTTTTTTTTTCTTTTTGCAATTTCTATACACTTACTAACAAAAACTATTTTCATTGTATAGTACAAAAAGGCATGGCCATAGAAGAAAATCTGTAAGAATTCTAAAAAAAGAAAAAGGCATTCACATTTTGGATTCACAGTTAACAGTTATTTCTAGTTAACAGTTATGTATTTAGGTAACTGAAGCAGTTCTTCCAGAGGAGTGAATGCCTGCATTATATTCAAAGTGAAACATTTAATAAGAAAGCTATTTATTATGAGCTAAGAAATACAAATAGCCTTTTCTGAGGGACAGAAAACTAGAAAACACAATTAAAATGGTTTAAACTCCTAGGAAATTCATTTCTCAATAGATTTTTTCCTGATTATCAAGAAAAGGGAATTAATATTAATTATACCTTATCCACATAAGATAATCAGTCAAGCAGTTGAAAAGATAATTACAAAGTAATTAAAACAGGAGAGCTTTTCTAGAGAATCTGTTCTTTAGTTTGTAGATGGCGGTGTGAGATACATGTGAGGGGACACCCTTGTCACAGATCAGAAGTTGTGATTGTACTGTGGAGCTTTGATATTTGAAACACAGCACATTCTTCTGTAATAAAGACATAATAATAATAATTTATCATTTTGCAGTAAGAAATGATTCAAGTCTTACTACTTAAAGAACCACTTATTTTTAAAAAAGGAGTGCAGACATTGATCACATCAAACATTTTCATTGAGAGGGTGACATGGACACTCATAGTTTATCGTGGATAGTCTCAGAAGGTTTCCTGTGTGTGCGAAACAGAGCCACAGGCCTTTTTGTATAAGTTCCTATACATCTTGTCCATGCTGTTCTCAAAGATGGGTCGGTGGGATTTTCCTTTATAGGAGGACGCCCTGTTGGACCAGTATTCACCATCATCCAAATGGAGGTTGCCATGTGGCCGCTGATATGAGCTATAAAAAAGGACACGAAAAGTTTAAAGCAATGGTGAAAATAAATTACAAGTAGCACTACCTAAATCACGTATTTATTTAGTACTTTATGGGTCTTCGAGTCTCTGTTAGAGCTCTGAGAAATACAATATAACCAGTTTGTGCCTTCTGTTAGGGAAAGTAGAACTATGATGTGAATCAATTATAGAATGATAAAATGGAAATTCTGAGTTGGAGCTAAAATGAAATTCAGAGAACAGAGACATGTACAACATGGTGAAAACGGGCACAAATGGTCTGCTCTGGCCAGCATGAGAACACATAGCCTCTAACTTCAGTATACCTCGAACTGAACCCTTTTTCAGCCGCAGAATGTTGGGTAATATGTTTAATTGTCTGGAATTGCAGCTTCCTCAATTATATTCTTGTAAGATTGTTTTCAAAATTAAATAGAAAATGTGTACAGTGCATAGTACAGAACTTATCTGAAACATAGGTTATTAAATATAAGGCACTGAATTAGGCACTTTACATTTATTTAGTTAATCAATACACTTATTTAGTCAACCAACCTTTGAAGTGGGTAGATGTGAAAATTAAGACACAGTGAAGTTAAATGACTTGCTTTTGACTACTGAATTAGTGACAGAATGGGAAAGGGAATCTTATCTATCTGTGGACCTAAAGCCTTTTCTATTATACTATGCTCTTTTTGTCTGCACTGTGGGATAGAAAATGAGGCTGAATATGTACCATTTAGGAAAAATGAAATGACATAGAACAGCTGGAATTTGGATAGAGATCCACTATAGATTTGAAAATTTAGAAATAAAATAAAGCACAACAAATATGTATTTAATGACATAGATCAGGACTAGGCTAGGTATAATGGTAATAAAAAAAGTAAAGGCAACACTTTCTGAAGGATTGATAACACATTTTTGAACATATCCAAGTTATAATTTTACTATCATTAACATTAATTTCTGGGCCTAATATATCATTTTTCTAGAGATAAATGTTCATTTCTTCACAGATTGAACTTATTTTTTATAAAAACTTTTTTTTAAATAAAAAAACTGTATGTTTTGTACCAGGGAACTGCACTCCTGACCTTGTACTTACCAGGCAAGTGCTTGAGCCACTAGCTAAATCCCTGGCCCTAATCTATACATATATTTTTTTACTACATTTTAAAATATATACCTATTTCAGTAAATGAAGCCTTGTTACAAATTAAATCTCTCAAGTCTGCTAGAAATTTGTGACACATAAGTCTATATTCTTGTGACTAAGTGTGACATATACTTAGAAGAATCTTACTTCATGTAAGTAATGTATTTTCCCTGCTTATCAATCCTATGACATTACTTCTATTATCAGCTGTAAAATACGAACTCTTAGAGCTATGTATCTATGAAGATAATTTACTTGGATTGATATGAATCTGATACATGCACACAATAAAAATGGCTACATAAAAAGCCACAGAGTGCCTATGTGAACATCCTCAGAGCCTGACAATGTCAGTGAGGATGTAGCATATATCACTTTGGACAGTCTGGTGCTCAGTAAGGGTGACTATGAAATTTAGACCCATTCCCAGCAAAATCCTTACACATGTGTAACATCATGTATATACAGACTTATTCATAAAATAACACTGTAATAGCTAGGAATTGCAAACAATGTAAATATACATGTACATTACAGGAGGAAAAGTTAATGACATGGAGCTACATGTTTTATCTGAAAAGCCAATGGAGTAGAAAAAGCAATTTGTGAACATTACATAGTTATAATTACATGTATATAAAGCTTAAAAGAAGGACAACTACATAATCTATTGCCTAAGGATGAATACAAGTACAGTATAACTACAAAGAAAAATTTAAAAAGGTAACAGAAAAATCACAGTAGCATCAGTGGAAAGATAAGAATCAGTATACATGGCTTAAAAAGAGTTGGATATTTTTTATTTTTAAGCATGACAGTAAGTAGTTAGGTATTCACTTTATTATTATTATCATTTAGGATATACAAACCTTAAACAATCCTCCTGCTAGTATTGATATGTTTATAATAAAAAGTTTGAAAAATGTACCTCTATTTACCATAGCAAAGATCTGCTTCCTAATGACTTTGCTAAAATGGTTCTACCTTGTGTTTTCTATCAATATTTATGACATCTTGACAAATTTTATATTTGAAATCACTTTTTTAACACTGGGTAATTTTGAAATGATATACATTCTAGGTTATTAAAAGTGTTTTAAGACATGATTATCGGGGGCTGGGGATTTAGCTCAGCAGCATAAGCGCCTGCCTTGCAAGCAGGCAGTCGTGAGTTCGATCCCCGGTACCGATAAAAAGGAAAAAGAAAAAAAAAAAAAAAAAGACATGACTATCATTATCCACATCTTACTTACTCAGTTTACAAGTAGCAATTAAAACATTTCATAATAATACCAGTATGTTTAAATTTTTCATACGGCCTTGGTCAAATCTCAATGCTACTGCTTTGATATAGTCAGCATGTATCTGCATAAAAATGTAGTCAATTTGAACATAATTAATTTTTCATAAAATTTCTCTCCAAGTCTAATTCCTGCTGTTAACTTTAAACACTTTTTTTTGACATTAACATCTTAGGGGAACCACATACATAAACATGTTAGCAGAAATATTCTGCAAGTAGCTCAGGCATCTGCAAATACATCTGTCAGTCTAAATCCTACAGATGCTTCTGTCCTTTCATACTAATTTCCTATATGTTGAATTTTGTTTATTTGCTGGATTTATTTATTTACCTTATTTTTGATTTTCAGTAAATCATGTGCTAATTACTATTTCACAAATCTCATAACTGTCCTTTTGTCATTGTTCACTACCACCAACTTTACTGCCTACTGGGTAGTAATATACTCCAAACACATTTTGTTTAGTTTACAGAATGATTCTAAGACAATAAACTTATACAAATGAAGTCTGAACTTTAACACATATCGCTACCCAACTCTCTGACAGGTAAGTAATAGGAGGTCTACCAAGTATTAACATCATGATGTGTATTTCTAAATTTATAAACCAAGCTTTTAATTATCTGTAATAAAGTACTATGTTGTTATCAGACATAGATTTGCGACTGCCTTGGTTCCAGTACAAAATATAAGTCTCAAAGCTGTCATAAAGTATCACCTCAGTGGCTTGCAATAAATAAAATTCAGAAAGCAGCTTAAGACTAATCATCACCCTGATAAGAGTCTATAAAGAGCTCAAATGGTAAAAATACATAGTATGTTGGTTAGTATTCTTAGAGATGGCAAAATTTGTCAAGGAACTTGATAAACAAAGACCAAGCAAATAGTATTCTATATACAGACAATAACCCAGATTTCAATAAATAGTTATCAGATGAAATAAATATAAGGTGATATATATGGGGAAAAGGTCTGAACAGTAAGAAGGATAAAAAGTTCATAAAATAATAAAATATTGGTCATTTGCTATTTATACACTTTAAAGTTGATGATATATATATATATAAATACATATATATATATATACACACACACACACACACACACACACACACATATATTCTATACTTTCAACTTTTGGTTAAAAGTCAATACAATCAAAGGCATTTTGTACAACAAGAAATGAACTTGTAATAGTGAATAATGGTTTCTATCCCGGAAAAATCTTGTTGGACAAAGCACGTGGAACAGTACTGAGCATATGGTGTATGCTCTACAGATACTGGATGGAATGAATGGATGGACTGATGAATAGCTGGAAGGAAAATATTCAAAATCTTGGAGTTCAGAATAGATGAAAAGGAGAAGCCATAATTATGGTCCAATAAAACATGAAAGGTATGTTAAAGATACCATAAAAATGTCATTAGAGACCAGTAAAGAGTATTGATGTTATAGCATTTGTTCCAAAACTTTAGCATGCATTACAAGAATCTTTTAAAATAATTAAAAGTGTTAGGCTTAATTCTGAGAGTTGTTAATTTAGTATGTCTGAGTCTGTGTTGGGGTGTGGTTCAAGAATTAGATAAGTATCTTGGTGATGCTAAAGCTGCGGGTCTAGGAATCACACTCTGGAAGACACTTAGAGACTTAGTCTTCTTAAAGATAAAAAAAGCTTATAGAAAAAATACAAGCTGTTAATTCTTTTTATTACTAGCTAGAACTATAAACAGTATAACATCTATTTATGTGGATTCACTGAAATTTCATTATTTATAGATTACTTATTTTCCATTACTGAGTGAAAATGTGGAGAAATGAGCTTCTGACATCAAATAAGGTCCAGTAACTTTCATCATTTATTTTGCGCAGGTGCTTGCCTCCCAGGTTGACTGTTGGTTCCTTACCTAGAAATGTTAAATGTTGCAGTCACAGAGTATTTACCTAAGAAAAGTCCTAGGGTCCTAGTAATGCAACTGATCACCCTTAAGGAGTCCAGTTTTAAAATTCAGCCACCTTTTGTGCCACTGCTATTATGTCAGAGATCTTAGATGGGCATTCCAAAATAAATAAAATCTATGGTTGTGAGGAGTTCATACTTAATACGAGGCATGAGATAGATAATGAAATAGTTATAACTGGGAGACAAATACTACAAGTTAAATTATACAGCTATATCTCAGAGAAAATGTTTAATAATCTGCATTGAGGTCAAAGTATCTCAGAAAAAATAATGAGCTTAGTCCTAAAGAATGAGAAGATTTTCACCAGTTAAAGATATGAATTATTCCAGGGATCACATTGTACCAAAATCAAGGTACAGAGCAGTCTAAAATATCATAAAATACCAAGTACATTTGTAGAGGTAACAATGAGTAAGATTAAGAGCCAAACAGAGAATTTTATCCTGGTGACAGTGAGGAGGCTACAAAAGAGGATACAGAAGAGGCTTCCACTAGAAAAGAAAGAGTCTGAATTAATTATTCTAACATTTCTTTAATCTCAAATGCTGCTTTTAGTGTATATCTGAGTATAGAGGAC